AGTCTTTTTTATAATGAAATGCAATTTATCAAAACGATTTATGATGATATGAATTTAAATTTTCTTTTGAGATTAGATTTGTTATTTGATTCGCCTTTTCTATATTTTAAGCACGAATTATTGTAAATACGATTTGTTATGTACATATTAAAGTAAATGGCTTTCTAAGTTTTTATAACAAAATATTTTATGAACACGATAAGATCAAACTGGTTTTGTAAATTTGATATAATCTTTCATAGATATTTTATGGTTTTTATCAAGAAATCGTAAAACAAGCACTTTATTTAGTCCATGTCCATGCTGCTTGAATTTGGCAATTTTTATATCTAAACTTTATATAAGTCCGTGTAAAACACTTAAATTAAATTCATTAATAGCATTTTAATGAAAATATTTAATTTCTTTTTTAAATCAAAAATAAATTTATTAATTATACCCGTGTTCATATATTTAATGTTAAGTAATAAAGATGAAATAGTGTCTTCGTATGAGCTTCTATAACAAATTTAACACTAAGTAAATACCGAAAGTATCTTATTTATTGCCGTGTATAAATATGATAAAATTAATTAAATTTAAACGACGAAAATCCAACTGACAATTATTATAGGAATTTTAACAAATTGCAGTCTTCTTTTAGATTTTATCTGAGTGGCAATGCATGAACCTATGCATTAAGCGCTCCGGTTAGGTGACTGGTTCTTTTGATTCTATGTAGATATTATTTCCAAATCATTATTCTGATCTAAGCACTAATGTATTTACCTTTCCATTAATGTTAAAATTTGTGATAGTACGCACGATATGGTGTTTCGTAAATAATTACTTGACCTTTCATCTTTGTGAGCCTTTCTTCCTGCATTTATCTTTTACTTGAAAGCAATGAGATTAAATACATGCGCTAAGCGTTTATGCACATTTCAAAAGCCATTAATGGATTCACTCGTGCCGGCCGGTGCACATAGTTTAAGTTCAACAGTTCGACCTTTCCTTGCCAGATTGCATCAATGTAGCATTGCATTGAATTCAACATTGCATTGCAATTTGCATTTCTTTTATAATTTTTAATTTCATATCTTCAATCAAAGGCAGCTTGTTTTTATTTGAGGTGCTTCTGCGCGCTGCTGTTTAAAATGTTTTGCACAAAGATACATTACAAAGGTTTGAACATTTTCCATGATTTAATCGGTTTAAAACTACACTTCCTTTTTTTACTTCTTTTTTTATTACTCTTTTTATATAATTTTTTTTTACACTTTTTTTTAGTTTTTTTTTTAACACAAACATGAATCTGAAATTTCTTACTATGGTTTCAGCTTGCGAAGAAGAACATAAGCTTTAGACGATTTTTTATCTGTGGCACTTAAGCGAATTTATTAGCTTTCGACAAAAAGTTCCAATTTCAAAAAATATTTTTTTCTTTTATTTTCATGTAGTAAATTCATGTAGTATTTTTCACTTGATTGAGATAATTTCTGTTAAAGAAAAATATCGAATTATTTATTGCCATAATGTGTTCGAGATCGGCAATTTAAATTTGCTTACAGCTCATTTAATTATCCAATTTAGTGTTTGATTTATTGAGCCATTACTCCATAAAAATGTTATGCATTTTAAAGTGTGAAATGTATGCAAATTTTTTACATAAAAGGACTTATTGATTACATTGTATAAAATTTAAAAACCAAAGCCTATATATTTTATATATTTTATTACTCATTAAATATTATAGGGTTATATATACAAATGCGTATTTGTATGAATATACTATGTATATACAGTTGGTAACTATAGTTGACTACATGGTTTCAAATAGTTTACAATCTTAAGCCGATATATTTTATATATATTGTTACTCATTCTGCTCAAAAAGTATCCGGATTTAGTTGTTTGTTACCTACTCCTTAAGTAATAGACCCTTTCTTGACATATGGCACAAATTTGAGCGCCATCTGTCAATTAGTTTATTTACAGCGATTTTGACTATGGAAAATTCTTGTTGTACGTGATTTTTTTCATCAAACACGGCACCACTGTCATCGCTAAGGCACCATATTCGCTAGATCTGGCATCGTGCGACTTTTTCCTCTTCCCGAAACTCAAATTGCCCCTTTGTGGTAAGCGTTTGGAGTCGATTGAATAAAAGCCATACCTGCACGGGCCTACGAAAAGTGTATGGAAGATTGGGTTAAGCGTTGGCATATGTGTATCGCTTCAGAAGAAACATATTTTGAAGGAGATAAAATAAATTTGGAATAAAATTTAAATTTGTTTGTTTTATTTACAAAATCCAAATACTTTTTGAGCAGAAGGTATACACAATGGTCTATTATTATAAACCTTGTATTTATAGCCAATACCAGATACCGCTTAATTTAAACATGTTAAAAAAATTTGATTTTTATTCAAATTAACACCGCCAAAAAATTCTGTCAAAGCACTGAGTATTATTATTTACTATGTATATAAATTATGAAATTCTCAGTTTTGAAGTTTATTGCAAGAAAATTAAACTTATTTACTGTGGTACTTGTTCATATTTTATTATTGAAGTTTATATTTAACTGACTTTTTAGACTACACATTGTGTTCTAAATTATTTTACAGAAGAAGAATACTTACAGTTAACAAACAATTTTTTTATTTACATTGAGAGTGATACCTTTTTACTTAACTATATTCTTTAAATATAACCCACTTTCTTATTCAATGGTCACTGTCCCCGTTACTTAGAACTACACACGAAATTTCAACACATTCATACTTAACTCTATGCAAATAAAAAAATTATTACTTACCTTAAATATTTAACTATTAGTTAAATAGTTGGTTAATAGTTTACAGTTTTTATAGTTTTATATTAAGTAAATTTAATAACTTTTATTTTAGTTAAGTAAAGTAAGCCCTTTGGCTTTACTGGAACTTAAACAATCTCTTCAATCTTTTTAATTAATTACTCAAAGTTATTGAAAATTTTATGGTAAACGTTTAACAGATCATTGTACTATAAATCAAAAATATTCGAATCACAACTGACAGACATTATTTACAGTAATAATATATATTATATTTATAAATAAATTTTACCTATCCATCAAAGTTCTAAATAATAAAATGTATATTTTGTTACTAGATTATAAATATAAATATTGCATATATTTATATATAAATATAAATGTGTGGTTTTGATTTTATCTTATAATAATTTATTTCGGATTTCTTTTAAAAACGAAGTCTTCAAATATCCGGATTTGCGATGATTGTTCGTAGTGCAACTATTCGAAGATTTCGTGAGTAAAAATTAGAGAAAGCACAAAATGCAAATGAACGTGGATCACACAAATCCGGATATTCGAAGACTTCGGATTTTCAAAGAATTCCGTTTTTTTTTCAACTCAGGAAAATTTATAAACGTTATCATAAATCATATATATACTCGTATATAAATTCTTAAAATGAAGATGATTTATTTTAAAAGAAAGTTATTGACGATGTATAAAAATCCAACTCTCATAAAAACCAGAATAAATTCAAGATTGTAATACTTCATTAATTTTATTCTATGCGTTACGCAAACCAAGTTAAGAAGAAAATTTTTATGACAACGACATGAAACAGTCTTCACAACAACTTCAAAAGCAATCAAACGCTTTCAGTTGAAGTAGAGTCTGACAATACTTAAATAGGAAGCTAGTTCATCTTCTTTGCTTTATGATAAACCATATCGACTTCTATAAAAATTGTTTTCTTTCAAAGACGATTTGCAACTTCAAAGAGACATTATTCACATTCACACTAAGAATGGTCATCGATGCCATTTTTATAAGAAAACAAGCCATTGCCGTTTATTTGTTTATATTCGTCTATATATTTATATGTTATATATTTGCCGAAATGCTTAAAAATGTATTATTAATATTTAATTTTCTTCAATTTGTTTACATTGAGAATATATATATCTACGCTGTTCACGTTACACAATATTTATTCTGATCAAGCGAGATGTCTTGATAAAACCAAATAAAATCGTTCAATGGAGGCAGTTATCTTTGCTCACAACACTTTTACGTAATTTTGTTATCTTTACAAACCTTATTTAAAATCTACCTATTTAGAACCCCACACTTTTGAAACAATATAAAATATGCTATTTGCAGTGAATTCTTAGATGAAGCAAATAACATACCTAAAGTTATTTAGGACGTTATTACTAATAAATATATACAAACTTTATGTGGTGAAAATAGATACAATAAAACCCTAAGCGCCATTGCGTTCGAACAGATGGAATTCAATTGCTCCAAAAGAATGAAAAAAGTCTTTATAAAAGTGTCCACCTAGTCTTCTAGCATTACTTTTTAACAACAAAAAATATTATTGGCCTAATAGTCAGTTTTCTTGGTTTATTTGCCACTTTTGGTGTTGTTAGCTAGCACTTTTACTACCTTTTGAAGTTTTAATGAAATTATCTGTTTTTCTTCAATACTAGTTTTAGGCCCTTCCAAGCGATTAACTACAAATTTGATTTATTCGTCCATTTTCTAGTGCTAATGGGTTTGTTTCAGTTCGTTTTAATGCTGTTTATGAAATTATTCCAGTGTTGGCGTTTAATATTTGTGTTAGAATATTTCGGAATAGTTAACTAGCTCTTTGACATTAGCTACAAAATTATTTTTGTAAGTATATATAAGCTAACATAAGTTAAATGCTTGTGTGAAGGAGCTTTCTTCATAAGTCGAATTTCGTAGGGCATTTCTTACGCAACGTGGCATTTTTAATGCTCGACTTAAATAATTCAATAAAGCTTCTTGAGGGCATTGAAAGTTTTCTATTTGTAATTATATGCTTCCATTTCACTTCATATACAAAGAAGCTTGATGACAGAAACATTTATAACATAATACAGAATTTCATCTAGAAAAATACAATTCTCTATTGAAATTAGAAAAAAAAATTATATACACACATTTTATTGGAATGCAATTAATATATTACAGAGCCCGGAAAAGATATATATTAAAGTGATAGAGCTTGAACCAAAAATCACATCACTAGGCGATAATCTCGATGTGTCGTTACAGATGCAGAGGGAACACGATGAGACTCTTAGGAATATACAGGTAATATTATTTTTTATTAATTCGTTTTAATTATCAAACTAAGCCGTATTACCACTTTTCAGAATTTACCCGGACCTATGGATGAATTTGTACAAAAAGCGGATAAATTGCTCGCCAGTAAACGAATAAGTTCAGAACTAGTCAACGCCATGGCAGAAACATTAAACATAATCTGGTGTGATATATTGCATCTAATGGAAGATCGTCAACACATATTACATTTGTGTTCGCAATTTCAAGAGAAAATGACATTGTGTCAGCGACGCATGGACCAGCTTGAAGTCGCGTGTATTGATACAATGGTGCCGATTGAAGTGCCAGCAGTACAAGAGTTCCTCAACAAAATCAAGCAGCTGCGAATTGATATGCTAACAGCAGTAATGGCAGCATTAAAAGATGGCAACGAGTTGCTGGCACAACTCCAAGAACTAACACAACTAGAAACGCTCGACACGAGACCAGAACACATAAAACGTGATGCCACGCGTGCTGTCCATCAAGTACAGCAATGGCTGGAGGCGCTACACGATCGACGCAATGCACTCGAAATAGCGTGGCAGACACGCAAAACACAACTGGAACAATGCTTAGCGTTAGCGTTGTTGGCGAAGGAACTGGACGAATTGGAAATTGCTTTGCGACAACAACGCAATGAAGTTTCTAGTATGTTTAGTTTAGGTGAATGTGAACATACCGCAAACAATGCGTTGCACAATTATCGAGAATGGAAGCAGCAAGCTTTATTGTTGCGAGATCGAGCACTTAAAATAACACGCGCTAAAGAAAAGCTACAAGCATCTGGCACGTTCACTGGTGATGAGGCTTGTGCAAGAGCTTATAATGTGTTAAGTGTTTGTACGGAGCATTTAGATTTGGTAGATCAACGCGAACACTGGTTGCAGCAGTCTCGTGAATTCTTCGCTAAAGCAGAGAAGACACTGATCGTTTTAGAAAAACTGGAAGTAGAATTATCGAACATTAAATTACCACCAACCTCACCGGAAAGTTATGCAATGTATGCAAAAGTGTCACGAGATGTACGTAACTTCACCGAGGAACCATTACGCCTTGGTTACGGTATTTTAGATGAAGTTGGACGTACCCAACCTGAAACATTAGGTGTTAAACGTGTGTTAGATGAAATTGAAAATCGCAAAGTGTATATTGAAAGTATTTGTGCGGCTAGCAATGAAGATCAACAACGTGTACAAAAAGCTTTATCGGAATTCTTACAGCAATATAATGATCTACTGACATGGCTACTGTCTTCAGGTCAAACATACCTACAACAGCACGTTGAAATGGGCCGCAGTTTAGAAGAAAGTAAACAGTTTTTATTACAACATCATGAATTAATGCAAGATTTAGAGGTTAGTTATATAAACTATTGTTTTTTTAATTAAGCAAGTTATAGACAAATTTTTTTTTTGTATATAGATCAAAGGGGAACTTATTAATTTGCTGCTTGAATCAATTAAAACACATTTGGAATCACTTAGTCCACAACAGCGTTATGATGTGGATTCCAAGGCTGAAACTTTACACAAACATTGGATTGAGCTGAAAGAATGGGTGCTAAAACGTGTAGATTGTGTATCTCTATTGATAGACTTTTTTGAACGTGCGAATCGTTTAACTAGTCAGTTGGACAATTTGGATCGACAGTTGACGCAAACACCTGATCAACAAAAACTGCAATTTTTGCAGGATGCTTGGTCGAATATACGCAGCGATTATAGTGATCTGAAAACTGCTGGAAAGCGATTCATAACGACAAAAGTGCGTTAAGTATATATCAATAACAAAATTTTTAAGTATTATTATGAAATTGGAATTCTTTGATCAAAGCACAAGATATAAATAGGTTACAAATTTTTTTAATATTAAATAGAATACTAACTAAACAACAACTTATTGATGTAGGCTAAATTTATAAGACTCAAAATTATACATTAAGTTATATCAATAATTAATTATATATATATGTATATATAAATATATGTATACATTTAAATATATGTATACACTTAAATATAACATTTTTTATGTTTGAATTTTATAGTTTGATTATAATTTAGTTTTTATTTTTTTTTATTATCTTTCGGTTTGGTTTTGTTAATATAATATTTATTTGTATTATTTTATTTTATTCTTAAATACTTGATATGTTTTTTATTTAAATTTTATTGTTACTTTTTATGTGTTGATATGTTTTTACTGTTTATTTTTTTAATAATTTCATTTCTATTCTGCTATATTAATTTCTTCCCATAAATCTGTCTTAGAAAATACTAATAATACTAACTTTAAAATTTTTTTTTAAATCATAGCATATAAAGTTATAAAATTATAATTTATTGCAATCAAATCAAGTCAGAAAACTTAACTGAATAAATTAAATTTTTATGGTGTTAGGACGTTAGCAGAAGAGAAAAACTATGTCATTCAGATAATAATATTTTTTTTTTTTGTAGCTTTTTTGTAGCTTTTTACAATAGTAGTATTTTTATGCACATTTATTTTTTTACATTACTATATTTTAAAAATAGAAAAAAAGATTTGTACTTTGATGGCTTCATATAATTTAGTAAAAACTGTGTATTTTTTATTGAAATTGCCGAAAAATATTGATACCAAACATTTAACACAATTAAAAAAAATTCCTAGTGATAAGCAATAAAAATATTGGCAGATCTGTCAGTCTTAGCCGATTTGAATTCAAATCCATCACTGATTTCCTAACTGACAACCTTTTAGTTATATATTTTAAAGTAAGCATTTAAAGACAGTAAATATTCCGTGTTATGATGTGTATCAATTTCGACTATTTTCTTACTATTATCCTGTTATTACCAGGAAAATGTTTCGGTACTCTTATTTGACTTTCATTAAACCAAATGATACTTAGGAGTCTGAAGAAGGCATTCTAAGTTTATTAGTAATTGAACCTGTAATTAAATAAAGTCATTCAGAGATACAACAATAGATCTCACTAGTCAAGGGATATCACAATAATAATAAAAATAATAATAATATACATTTAATTTAATTAATACTCTTTAAACAACACATCAATTATGCATACGAATCGAACTAACTCCGTAATGTCTATCCATCTTTCTATTTGTCGGCTTGAATGTTACTAGGATATAAATGATAAGTTACTGATCAAAAAACCTATATAAACTGATTTAATATCTGTACAATGTATTTTATTAAGACAGATTTATTAAGATATTAAGACAGAAAATAATTACTAAAAATAATATTTATTTGCATTTTATTTGCTACCAAAAATAATAAAAAAAAATAATTAATAGAGGCTTCAACAAAGTCAAAACCAAATATTTACCTTTTAATAGTGAGTTTAATTGATATTGTAATATAAAAATGAATAAAACCATCTTATATCATTATAACAAATATTATGATAAGACCTTGTAGGTTAAATCACAAAATTAAGAACTTACGCTAATGAAGTATGTAGGTTTTATAAATAAAAGAATAAGGTCACAAAACGTGTGCCAGAAATTTACTCGGCACTGACCTAGGCTAGGCACTGATACAGAAATAAAGCTCCGTAAAATTTGTTCAATATTAATCAAATTCAAACTCGTAGAAATATTCTAAGTCTCTGAAGAGGGCACAACAGATGTCTAAGTTGAAAACCTAAAACTTAATTCAAATCATAAGTAATTATTGATACTAGTAACATATGCCAGTTTGTGATTTCCTCAGCCATAAAATATTTCCAATTATCTTACACTATATCGGTTTTTTTAATGATTAACACATTTTACAATTTATTAAAGCCAACAATTATAGCACATATTTAATAATAACAAAAATGGAATAGTTTTCAATTCTTTATTATCACAATTTGGTGTTATGTAGAAAGTTCACTAGTTTAAATTTATAGAAATATATAAAATTTTTAATCTAAGACAAAGTTTTTCCCCCTTTAATGAAATAAAATTTAAATACATATTAATATATATGCATATATAGTATATTTTATTTTAAAATGAGTTCCAATGAACTTAAGCTAAGTACAATATATGAAAAAATGGTATTTTAGCTGGTAACACATTTGCTTAAGATATTTTAAGATATTTAAAACAATTTCGCAAAGAAAAAAGGGCTAGAAAAAATTCTAACACAAAATATGGCCAAGTAAAGATGCCTCTAAAAATACTTCTCGCGGTTTTTCCTTAATACACATATATATATATTTAGTCATTTTAAATGTTTTTATATAAGTTTAATTTTTAATTTTCTACAATAATGCTTCATTAATTTATCTGAATAGATACATTTCAAAATTTTTAAATTATATATAATTAAAATATAAAATCAAATGCTTTATAAAAATTCCCAATTAGTTTTTATGAGAAAACAATTAAATTTATATTTTAACATTATGTTTATAAATTCTTATAATAAAGTTATTAGAAGGAGATGACAAACCCACAAACCCGTACAAAAAATTTAAGATAGTAGTATTGATATAAAATTATTGAATGAATTATTAAACATACACAGTCAATCAAACCAAATTAGTCAAAATATATTTTGTTACCTTTAAATAACACTCCATGTAGTACAATATAATTTTATCTGCGCTTAACCCAATCTTGCATACATTTTGTTGGTTGATTAAAGTAAGGGCTTTAACTGTTATAGTGAATTTTATTAATTAGGTGCAATTGACTCGAGATCTTTTCCCCGAAATAGTAATTTTTGCTTGAGAAACAAAAAAAATCACATGTTAACGGGTCACATTCTTTGAGTTTGTTGCAAAAACTCTTTTTAAACTACAAGAGTTCTGTGCCATCGCAGAATAATATTTATCAAACATTTTTGTTTCGGGCCCTACCTATACCTTTCTAAAAGTCTTCGTAACATATTGCGTGGTTGCAAGATTTACTTCAATATGATACAGCCTTAATACATGTAAATACATTATGGAGTACTAGTATTTTTATAACAGTACTATAGGAGTATAAATAATATTATATAAAATTAGCATACTTTGACTCTAAATAATTCACTTTAGATTATATTCATTCTATAAAAACTACCAAAAGAGTATTATATTAAGTATGAGTATTAAGTTTAATTTTTTATTCAACACTCTTTTGTTTTTTTGTTAATAAAACGCAAGTTAGTGTCTAAAGCACTTTTACTCAATAGTGTCTGTGATTACTTGGATGATCCACTGTGACAAAAGCTCAGTTATATTTTAATAATGAGTTATTCAGGTGGATTTACAGAGGTATAATTTGAAACCTAGAGTATGCAATTCTGAATTAATGTGAGCATCCACAGAATCAAACAATTTCAACGCTTTATCTTTGATATAGTTTTGCACACACTCGACTCTTAAGTTTTTTTGTGTATGTTCTTTTGTGATACACCATTGAACTTTTAGCACACGTCTCATTACAATATTCTGATAGGTTTGAACTTTTCTAATGGTGGATTGAACAGTATTGCCATAAGTAACACAGTCATAAAATAGCTTAAGTCTTTTAACTTTAAAAAGGCAACAAGAATTTATGCTTGGTTGTTTCATACTATGCGTGCAAACATATAACATGTAAAATTTACAAGTTACGATTTATTTCATATTTGGTTCCAATTTAAACTAACCTACAACAATTAACATAAAAGTCTAATTGAATTGAATTGCCCGCCAAAGTAATCAAAATGCTTATCTGTGAAAAACACTGCTGTAAAGTATAATTCCATAGCTAATGCAACCACACTGAATATCAGCACACGACTAATTTATGCATGGTACTACGGCATAGCCCTACGAACTAACAATCAAAAATTTATTACAGTATCTTTTGTGACAAGTTTTCAAATTATAAAATCCCCATAATTTTTACACATGATATATGTTTTGCAATATTTTATATTGGAGACATATATGCCAATAATTTCTCTGTTATTATTATATTTTAAATAGTTATTTATTCGAATTTTTTTTTAAAAACAAAAAATTCTTGTATATAAAAATGAAAAATGTTTTTATTTATTTTTGGCTATCATAAATTCCATGATTTCCCTATTATTACCCAGTAATTTTTTTTTTATTTGCGGACACTAAGTTTTCTTATTGCATTTGGTGATCTGTTTATTTTCATTTTTACTAAGAATTTTTCCACACGCTGATATTCTCAACAATATCCCATTACTTAAGTGTAAGTATGCTTATTGCCAATAAAATAGGGACAAAAGTACTGAATATCACTTAAGGAGTTAACTTGTGCATTCACTTGCCTTCACTTGTTCCAATTTATATACAAAAAAATTTATACATTTTTCACTAGAAATACATTTTTAATGCTTCCATAAATAATTTACTTCACAAACACAGATGCAATCTAATAAAAATGAACACAGAGTTTTATGCAAATGAGCATAAAAAAGTTTTTAACTCAAATAGTCTAGGGAATAAAAAAGTTTTTAGAGAACTTTTGCGCATAACGCCCTGTACGTTGCGCTACGCTGCCAGCATTTGCTCAATATTTTCCACTAACAAACATAACATAAAAATTAAAAATAACAACAAAAATAATATATTATTTTCTTCTATTTCTGTCGTCCAAAATCTTATATATACGCACACATGAATACGCAGATAGTGGATCCGTATCTCGAGACGAAATCCTCAACAGAAGCAGTCGAAGAAATCCTCAACGGATTTAGTAAGCGCCAAGTCGATGTAACAACAAGTCTTGAAAATTGGACAACACATATTGCGGAAAAGCGTGAAGTTGAACTAATTTTAGAGAAAATTATGAGTGATAATGAAGAAGTGAGTAGAGTATAGAATTCAATATGTGAAAAATAGATTTTTATTATAAATAAAAGTATGAAGAACAACAAAAACTATTGTAAACATTTATTTTTTAAAATTAGTACACATTGTGTTTAAAATTGTTTCAGTTAATAAGCAAAATTCTTAATTATTTACATTACTTTTTATTGTTTTATAGACCGGCACAAAAACTACCAAGCTTGATACACAAATTTATCCGATATTTTCTTCACCATCCATTGATGCAAAATATTTGCAAGCTGCCACACGTGATAAACTCAATAATGTGTTGAAGGATATGGAAAAGGCCCAAGATGAGATACAACAACGCATACACACTACATTGGCTATACAAACAACCGATCAAGAATCTCAACAAAAAATTGAAATAGTCATAAGCAATCTGCGTACGCTTAAATCGAAACTGGATGGTATAAAATATGATTATAAAAATCTACTGGATAACATATTACAATTTCTGGAGAATATATTGCAACTTCGTCATGATATTGATAATTATTTTGCAAATCAACGCAGCGATAGTGGCATCGAGCGCGTCATAGCTGAACATGAAAAATTCCGAGATTCGTGTATGGATAAATTTAGATCATTGATCACACAGTCTGAGTTGTTAATCGATCGTGTACGTGCGCTGGAACCGCCTGGTGCACGCGAAATCGATACTGATCGCATATTGAAATTATTGGAGAATTTGCGTTTTCACTTCGAAACCAGCAATAGCGAAAGAATGTCAAACTTGGAACGTATGGAAAAATTGGAGCAATTTAAGAGTGATTTATATGACATCAATCGCAGTCTGGACAGTGTGAGTAAACAGTTGCTAGATATCAATGGACAAAGTGTCGACAGTTTGGCAGCAGCCAAGACAACTTCGTTAGCATTTGAATACTTCGAACGCACAATTGAGGTGAGTAGTATTGTATACATTGTTTTTTTTTTGGTTTGTAAAGATTTTTTTCATTAAAAAACATATTGTGTTGTTTAATTTTAATTACTTAAATAAATTATTCAGATCTTTTTTTTGCATTGACAGTTTTAATTTAGTTCTTTTCTCTATACACAAAAGATGCAATTAGACGCAATTATTTTGTTTTAGCTCAAAATCTATCTTGCGTTTGAACTAAAAATTTGTATATTTTGGATGTGCATGACGCAAGTTCTAGTATATTGACCTAGACGTTTTCAATACTCACTATTGTACTGCTCGTACTTTTATTATTATATTTTATGTATTTTATTTTATTTTACTTATTTCAATTTTTTTTGTTTTATTTTTTTTTTACAGTTAAAACAATTTTTACAGTTAAAACAATTTGTGTTTTAGATTTTATTTTATATTTTGTGTGCCGCGCGTGTGTGTCTAGGAAAAACGTCATTTATTTCTTGATTTAATTTTTTTTCTTGGCAAAATACAATATTTGTAAAATATGTGCATATAATATAAACAAAAGAAATTTTTGCATAAATATCCATTTTACTATTTAGTTGACTAGAAATGGCTTCATAAATAATATTAATATTCTTGTTAGTGGTTTCGAAAATTCTTTTTCAAAAATATAAAAGTTAAAATGCACAAAAATCGGTATAAATAAAAATTTTTATTATATATACATATTAGCTCAAATATATACACAAGCCTTCCTCAACGCTTCCTACATATTTCGTAACACTTTTCTACATTTTGTCATGTTTATATATTTTCCTGTATATGTGTACATGGAAATTTTTATTAGATAGAACCCTGGAAATATACATATTTTTAATAATAAATTACTTGTCAATTTTTCGACATTTATACATTTATACATAGTTGAAAAATTTGCTTACAACATTTTCCGTTTATTTCGTTTGAAGTCATTTTGTCGATCATAAAATCACAGACATATTTATTTATGTCTTATATATGCCAGTCTTCTAATAAACAAAAAAATTGTTACTATATACATAAAGTCTGGAATATATCTTTGTACTATTCTTCTATGTTTTTAGAAATAAATTTTTTTATTTTTTGGAATTACTCAATTGCAAATGAATGCAATCAAAGACGTATTTAAAATATTTAAAAAATTGAATTACAATAGATTTTTATGCTAATCATATAGGTAATTCAATTACTGTCAAACAAAAACACAGTGTTATTAAAAATTAAATAGATTTAATATGAATCAATATTTAAAAAAAATTGTTTAAAAGTGTCACTCTTTCCTATAGGCAAATATCTTGAGCAACTATTTTATTATTATATTTTACGTTAATTTACTTAATTGACAAAGACTTTAGTATAGATTTCTTTATATAACTAGTTTAAAAAATACTTATCCAACTAATATTAATAATGTTGATATTAATATAATTGTAAAAGATAAAATAATCAAAAATTAATTTAAAACTAAGTACAAGAATTATTTTCAAGACCACTAGCGGTAGGTATTTGGCAATACTCGAAATAGCTGTATGGTCTGCCAAAAATTCAATAATATAAAAAATAAATTTTTGTTGTTGTAGTTCAATACTGTTCAAAAAACCTCTTTTTAAAACTAAATGAAGAAAAATCATGAACGTATATATTTATTTCTGCGACACTCCAACTTATTCAGTGGTTTGTATTCGCCCGCTATTTTATATGGTCTGGACAGTCCTGATCTAAAGCGTTAGATAGGGTAAAAATACAACCTAAAATATTTGACTCAATTGCTTATAATTCCGATATTTATTCGCAGATTTCCTTTGTCAATCCTTTATTTTTTGTGCACAAGAATAAATCTAGATACAAACATAAAAAAAATGTAGAGATACTTTCGCTTTTTATATGGCGGTAGAGTGAATTTTCGATTTCTTTTTCAACTCAAAAATTGATTTTTCTTCTGCATACCAGCCTATTGCACTTGAACTACTTAAGCGATTAGAAAACAATATCAGAAGCGATTATTAAATATTCGATAATGTTTAATTTAATTTATTATGCAATCCAATCGGACATTCAAACTTGAAATATGCCCTGAACGTGAAGTTACCTCCGACAAAAACGAAAAAAATTCAAAACCTTAAGCATACAAAAAAAAATATAATTTTTGAGTTTATTCGATATAAATTTATGGAAGCAATACAGTGGTAATAAATGAATAGTTGGCTTTAAACTAATGTAATTAAAGCAGTCAATTTGTGAGAAAGACACTTTTTGGGAAAGTAAAGTATCTCCACAGCTTCACAGTTCACGTTAAATGTATATAAGCTACTATAAGATCATAAAAAATTTAATGCATAATTTAACGAATTGACCATATAGCACCTTTTAAAAATACATACATATATATCAGTAAACTACAATTAATGGGCAATTTAGAGTAGTTAGTATAGTTTATAGTCAATACAGTTAATAATTGCTAATATTGTCAGAACGGTTTAGATAATAATGCCAACTAGATTGTATATTTGCAATAGCGATTAAGTAGGATTACCTTTCTTGGTCTTGCTACGATTATTATTTATTTTTCTACATATTAGCTTAAAATGAGTACATTTTGCTTTTTTAGACACAACATGTACTAAGATCATTAAAAAATCATTTCTACTTGCATAAAGACATCGAAGACATAGAAATTTTTGTGAAATTACTTTCTTTTTAGCACTTTTGTAGAATAATATATTATTTTCTTTTTTGTTTTCCTTCATCTTTTTGATGCTATTAGCTGCCACTATAAATTATAACCATTTTAACATATACATACATAAGAGTTAAGTTAATTACATACGAGTTAAATTAGTTACATTTTCAAGATATAACTCAAATATTATTATATAGCAGTATAACCAGACCTAAATCATTTAAATATCAAGGCGTAACTTAAAATACAAGCGGAAATTTTAAATTTGGCCCCATATAAATGGACATATATTGCAAAGCAAGCACAAAATTTAAATTTATGTACTCAGATATACTCATATATATCTGTGAACAAAATTGTTCATATGTCTGTAAACAAAATTGTTCATTACTATACATTTTCTGAATGAAAAGAAGATCTAAATCGTATGCACCAAAATATATAGCTTAGACCAATAATCATCTTAAATATAATTTCTAATAAAGGAATCATAAACAAATCATTAAAATTATGTAGTAAATAAAATCTAAAATTTATTTTTCTATTACTGAAACTAAAGAACATAAAATATTTACTAGTCACAAAATAACACACATAAAATGTTTAAAATTACAAAATTTGCATTTCGTTGAGCTCTGTGTTGCATGTTGCAACACACACTACAATTCTTATCGATGATTTAATTTTTTGTTTTGAACAATAATATTAAAATAAAATTTTAATTATAAAAAAAAAAACAATTTGTCCAAATGGAAATTATCAAACAAAATCAACAATTTTTTATTTTTGCTATTAGAAAGAAAATTCATCATACAATTTCATCTCTCTTAGCAAATGTAGCGTATAAATAAAGTTTATATTGCCACTCTATAATTTACACATAAAATATTTTGCGTACTCATACGCCATGTTGCACATTAAGTTTTAGAAATGGAACATTTTCTTATAATTTATAATGTCTTTTCCATGTTGAGTATGAAGCGTCACTGTATCTTGAGCAAAATGTATAGGATTTTAATTGCATTTATATATAACTGACAGCTACAGCTGTTCACAATTTGTAATTAAAAACAACAAATTTAGTTAATTGTTAAATATATAGTATTCTAAAGTAAACTTATACTAGATTTGTAAATGCACTTATCAACTTTAATTAAATTTTGAAACATTATAACATAAAAATGTATTTAAAAATTTTTTTATTTTATACAAATTTTTGAACAATTTTATTTTAAAATATTTTATTTTTTCATCAAATAATAAATCATACTTTTTATCATGCATGTAATGTGAATCTAATTTGAAATTAATGTAGGAGGCATAGTTATATTCTTGACATATTAATATCTCATCCTTGAGAAAATGCTTAAAATTAGGCACCACATTTATATGGTGTATATATTTTGCATTAATTAAAAATATATAAGATCACTTAAGTAAAAGATGATTTATTCTACACTTCATTAACATATTCAACAAATCGTATTTCGAAAAAGTTAATTTAATTTGAAAAAATTTAATTTCTAAGTTTGTCTTATTTTTTTAAAATACTACTTTTCCTATGTGAAAATCATATATGAAACCTATATTAATTCTTATCATACTTTTAATACACATAAATGACAGTATGATATTTTAATTTAAAATTTGCATACCATAGGTTGCAGTTCTTACCTGTTAGCAATTATTATTCTAAGTTCGATTTAATATCACACCATTATCTTCCCTATAATTTTCGATAGTCAAAAACCATTATTCCATCATCAGTTATGGAAGAGATAAATTAAAATATATATGTGCAAATCGAATGACTTTCCTATGAGCTTTCCAACTTTCCAACAGAAATCGATATAATAAACATTTCAGTCAGCATAGATAAGTAATATTTATAGAGAATGATATTGAAAACCAAGTAAATGCTAAATAATTAAGTTAATAACCAGTAAGCAACAGCAATACAAATAATTTTAGAACAGAAATCTATATACTGACCCTTTCTAACCGAGTCTTACAGTTATCCAGCCCATTTATTAGGTAATACTCATTTTAATTTATTCCCACTACAATTATTCCCACTAATAACAACTGTTTATTTAAGGACATATACGCACTTTCTTTAAATATAACTCCTACGTATGGAAGAATGTATATTAACATAAAAATTTATTCTCTTAATATAGTTGCTTGAAAAACGTATAGATAAATTTACCGAAACGACTAGCCAACAACTGTATGTCTCAAATCCAGAAAGTGAAGAATTTGTAACGAATGAATTAAGAAAGCTGAATGAGAAATGGCAAATGTTTAAAGAACAAGTTAAAAGTAAACGTAACTCACTCAATCAAGCAACAGAATTCTTTGAAATGGTAGAAAAGGTAAATTTCTAGTAGACATCATTTAAAAATAATACTTACTAACTCCACATTACTTAGATCGAAGCAGAATACCGTGAAATCAGTTACTTCTATAATAGTGTCGCAAACAAAATCACATACTTACGAGATCCAATAGAAGCAGCCAATCTAGTGAATGACATAGAAAAATATGTTGCCAATCGTGAGGTGCCCTTACGAGAAAAATTAGATAATGCCTCGAAATGTGCGTACGACATGAATAAAGTTTCAACATTATACAATGATGTGATGGCTATATTCCAAGCGTTCATTAAGTTAAAATCAGATATTAATATCGTGCAAGAACGTCTTAAAAATGAAGAACGTATGCGTGAACAACGTGAGAAAGAAGCGCGAGACCAGGTTGAACGAGAAAGATTACAACGTGAAGCTGAAGCAAGAGAAAGAGCAGCACGAGAAGAAGAGGCACGTCTGCAAGCACTCAGAGAACAAGCAGCACGTGAAATAACTGCGCGAGAGCTAGCAATACGTCAAGAAGAAGCACGCTTACAAGCTGTACGTGAACAAACTGCACGTGAACAGGCTGCTAGGGAACAAGCGGCACGCGAGGAAGAGGCACGTTTAAAAGCGCTAAGAGAAGCTGAAGAATCGCGTCTACTTGCACTGCGAGAACGAGCAAAACAAGAAGAAGAAGCTCGTCTATTAGCCGCAAGACAGAAAGCTGCACGTGAAGAAGAAGCCAGACTAAAAGCTTTGCGTGAAGAAGAAGCACGTTTACAGGCAGTAAGAGAACAAGCTGCATATGAAGAAGAAACACGCATAAGAATATTACGTGAAGAGGAAATACGTTTGAAGACAGTAAGAGAGCAAACATTACGAGAAGAAGAAGCACGTCTTTTAGCCGCAAGAGAAAAAGCTGCGCGTGAAGAAGAAGCACGATTAAGAGCATTACGTGAAGAAGAAGCTCGATTGAGAGCATTAAGAGAAGAAGAAGCACGTCTGCAGGCAGCTAGAGAGCAAGCAGCACGTGAAGAAGAAGCACGTCTTAAAGCATTACGTGATGAGGAAACACGTTTACAAGCTGTAAGAGAATTGGCAGCACGTGAAGAAGAAACACGATTAAAAATTTTGCGTGAAGAAGAAATACGTTTGAAAACAGTGAGAGAACAAAATATGCGTGAAGAAGAAGCACGTTTACGAGCAATGCGTGAAGCAGAAGAATCCAAATTACAAGCATTGCGAGAGCAAAGTAAACGTGAAGAAGAATCACGTTTGCAGGCATTAAGAGAATTAGCAAAAAGAGAAGAAGAATCACGATTACAAGCGTTACGCGATGAAACAACTCGTTTGCAAACAGCACGTGATATTGTTGACCATCAGCGTATAATAACCGAAAATATAAGAAAAGATATACAAATTAATGAAATGTTTAGTGAGATTAAATACGCTTCACCGCAGTTCGAACGTGCGCTTAAGGATGCTATAACACGTGAAGGGGATAAGATCATTTTTGAGTGCGAAGTCAAAGGTAGTCCGGAACCCATGGTAGAATGGTTAAAAGATGGTATATCAATACAAAACAATACCGATTATAAAACTAGTTATAACAAAGGTGTATGTCGTTTAATCATTGAAGAAACTTTTGCAGCTGATTCAGCTAATTACACTTGTCGTGCTTCCAATATTGTTGGTACCTCTACCACTACGGCCAATTTATCGGTACGTGAAAATGCTGCAGAAGTACAAATGATACCACCACGATTTGTGCGTCAACTGGAAAGTGGCAAAGCAATTGAAGGCAGTACTTATCAATTCTCATGCGCAGTAAGTGGAAATCCATTACCGATTGTCCAATGGTATAAGAATGATAAGTGTATTGATGATTCACCGGACTATATAATCAATTACAACAATGGTGAAGCTACCTTGCGATTTGAAGAGGTGTTTTTGGAAGACGATGCGGTATACACATGCAGTGCCTCAAACCCTGCTGGAATTGAACACTGTTCTGCTAGCTTGCTGGTTGAACGTAAGTATTATAAAAAAAAATTAATTAGAAATATTGAAAGCAGAAAAACATATATATTAAATAAAATATTCCTTTATATATATAAGTGTATATAAAAGTTTATAAGTGTATATAAAAACATATATTTAAGTATTTATATTTAAAACAAATTATATGTAGTTTTGTGCATGGAAGTAAAATAATACATATTTTTATTAATTTATATAAAAACACATATAATAAAACAATTTAAGAAATATATAGAAAATATATACATATAAAATATATATAAGAAAAAAATTTCTATATATATAATTAAAATATTTTAATCAGAAGAAATCTTGCACTTATTTTTTATCTATTAGCTTTGGAACCTACAGAATTACCTCATTTCAAAATACCGCTTACAAATGCTATGGCACGAATAGGTCAAAAAATCAAACTAGAAGCTTTAGTCGGTGGTATACCACAACCTGACATATTCTGGTTGCACAATGGAAAACCATATTATCCACGCGAAATTAAAGTGAGTATTCAATTAAGTATCTCATTATTAGATTTAAGAAAAATAAAACTATTTGCAATTTCATTTTACAAATAAAAATTAGAACAAATAAAAAATAGACTATAAAAACGTTCAGTCGAAATTTATTATGTCTGCTGGAGTGATAAAATTTTTGGAAATTAGGCTCCTATGCATGTGTACGTTTGTTGAATGGTGCGAAACATTATTTATTCAGTGTGGTGAAAAATTATATTCAATTATTTTTTTTTATATTTTTTTGAATTAAAAATGAACAAAATAATTAAAAATAATTTTTGAATTAAAACATTTTTATTTAAAAATCCGCCAAAATAGTTGTGGTTTTAAACAAGAGTGACGCGCTATAATTGCGTTCATATATTATTTACAAAAATTTATATATATTGTATTAGGTGAATTAAAATATCTTCTTTTTAAAATTGATAAAACAAATAAAAACACAGTTTGGATATGAAATATTTAGAAAATTTAGAGCTGAGTATCATTTTGATCTCGTACTTTATTCATAATTCAACATAAATACTAGAAACTGAAGAAACTTCATAAAGAAGATGATGATATCGTGTTCCGAGCAAAGTCGAAATATTTATCAGAAGATAAAAATAAAATAGAAATGGATAATAGATAGAAATTAATTAATAAAATAGATAGAAATTTATAACATTACTTTATTCAGGAAAGCTGTTAAGTTGTTGAATTATATACAAGCTCATACAGATCTAAAAATACCTGCATGTCCTGTAATGACGACATTACTCCTGAATGTATTTACCTCCACCCTTTTTACACTATTTTCCTTTATTCTTTGGTACTCGAAACACATCACGAGTATTTCTTATCTCAGTTTGGAACATGTTATATTAATAAATTAATTAAGACCTTAACACTTATAATTAAACATGAGTATAAAATATTTACAACAGATCGAAGGGTGTCTATTTGATTTTTGCTCATGTACTCAGAAACAATGGCGCCAATTTTGGTTACAATAATATGGCATATTATTAGATGAGAGACAAAAATTACGGTCTAGGTTAAGGCTGAATATAAGGCGCTAATGTCAAAATGCTTTTTACCCAAAAAAAAAAAATTAAATACAAATTTTTTGAAAATAAAGTAATAATATTTTGAAGAATCGAAAAATAAATTTATTAAGCTTCATTTTAGTTTTTAATATTAGTTATCACAAACATATTGATACTAATATTTTGTTATTAGAAAAATCTCAAAATTTCTCAAAAAAATAATTCATTGAAAGACTTACTAGAAATAGTATAGCGATGAGAAATATGCTGATGAACAACGTAATGAAAATATATGAAATAAAATAATTCAACAAGAAACAAATGCAAGTAATGAAATGCCAGATCATTTCAATGCGCATGCAATGCACATTTTAGAATTGAAGGTGGAAATTTAAAATAAATAATAAAATGAATGTGCAACAAAGTTCACAGGCCTATGCTATGTAAATTCATAACAATTATTAAATAAACAATTATGTTGTGAATTAACGCAGCAATACGAGGTTAAGAATCAGGGTTTTGAACCTGTACTCAACAAAAATGTAGTGCCAATTTGCGAAAACGCAAATCTAATCTAAAAAAATAGATCGGTTTATTTCAGATCAGAGACGATCAGTTCTTCAGTCATCATTTTTTAATTTGTTTATAAATATACACATAAATTATTCTAACTAAACGACTTTTTAAACAAAAAAAATTAAATCGTTTATTATTAATTAAAATTATTTAATTGTAAAAAAGACATTAAAATTATTTTACTCCTAACAAAACAACTCATTTTAAAAACTGATACATCAAAATTCATTTAGAACTGAATTGGAATTATACAAATATATATTTTAACTCAAAAAAGTTTTCCGGTTCGAAAACCTAATGAGAAATAGAGTGGTGAAAAGTATTACAAATCCATAAAATATATAAAAAAGTTTTATTTATAAAAAAAAGTTTGAAGAATATAATTAAAAGTGTTAATATAATTTATATTATTAATGTTATTAATTTTATACATATTATGCATATAAAATTAATGTAGTGTACTCAAAAAATAAAACTGTTTGCAACCGAAACTGAAGATGCTCAAATAAATTTCAACAAATACTTTTAACATTAAGAAAAAAATGTTAATGCATTTATAACATAGTGAAAATTGGTTCATTAAAATAAAGAAATCAATATGTCTTATAAATTAAATTTTTTTAAAGAGATGAAAAATTAAAACAATTTCTGATAAATTATAAACATTTATGCATGTATGTATAAGCGTGTATAATATACAAATCTGCAATATGCAATATTTGTGTCAAGTAAATTTTTTTAATTGTTAATCTTGAATAATGAATTATTTTTGCATTAAATATTATATGTAATAAAATTTGCAATATTAGCTAAAATAAATCGTATGCCAATGTTTTGCAGCTCAACTCTTTGAATTCACCACAAAAATCGTAGGCGGGCAAAGATTTTGCTGGGCAAAATTATTTTCCTTTTGCCTATTAGCTTTAGTTTTTTTTTTTTGTTTTTTCATTTGTTTAGACTTGAATTTGCAACTGAGTATGAATATTTTACAAAATTGTTTATACAAATGCGGGGGTATGATTTTGCAGTCATGTTTGATAATGATGAGTCTTCATGTACTCTTAATAATAACATATGTACACACTGTTGAAAAAAAAAATTTATATCACAAAAAAACCTCAAACCTCACAAATATTAAACAAAACACAAAAATAGATTTCATTCGAGAAGAACTGATTCTTTTAATGCAGGGTGTTTGCTTTATCTATGAAATGTAAGATGATTTTAGTTCATTTACTTGCAAATAATAAATAATTACAATAATTGGACTTTATTGGTTATAAATATATATTTTAAAGTTAAAATGAATTTTTCAAAAAACGTATTTAAATCAAAACAATTTATATGAACAATTTATTATAGTTTAAATTAAACGTTTCGTCAGTTAAAAACAAATATTTTTGAAATAAATTTAGCGTTTCTCACTATCATATAAATTTGTAATACCCTGTGCTCATTTCCCGTTTAGTAACCTTACACAGCAGTGGGTCTGCCGGATACTCTCACATCCTCAGCAAAATAATAACATACAATTTGTTTTGTAAATAAAAGCCTAATAGTAAAAAGAAAAATTTCAGCAAAAATCTGAACAAATCATGAACTGATATAATAAAAACATTTAAATAAAAAATTTTAAAAAAATTTAAATTTCACCACTAAATAATAAAAATTCACCATATACACAAATACATTTACAAAAATTAATTGAATTCTGCAATTATTTTAAGCAATGATTTTTTCTCAATGGTTTCATCTACTTTTCGCATCAATTTTCATTTTAGTATGAGTACGGACGTGTTACGCTAATAATCCCCCAAGCTTATCCTAACGACGCCGGAGTTTATGTATTGACGGCTAAAAATCTAGCTGGTGAAGCATTTAGTTCGTGTAATATAATCGTAAAAGGACGTTTGCCGAACGAAACATCCGATTCAGAAATAGCTTCCGATATGGAGCCAATTAAGCCTTCAGTACAACTACCATTGAAAGATGTTTCAATATTCGAGGGCAAGCCAGTTCGTTTAGATTGTGTAATTGTTGGTCAACCAGAACCTGAAGTTATTTGGTATCATAATGATCGTCCAGTCAAAGAATCTGCTGATATACAATTACTTTTCCAAGGCGATCGGTGCTCACTAATTATACAAGAAGTATATCAGGAAGATGAGGGAAATTATAAAGTAGTCGCTATTAATTCGGCTGGTGAGACGTCTAGTAGCTGTGAGCTCAAGGTGACCCCATTAAATATTGCCGAGCCAGCTACGCGCGCTCAAGCTGAAAGACAATCGTTACCAAAAGAAATACTGCCGAAATTCGAAAAATTTTTAACCGATGTACTTGTAGATGAGAACGAAACAGTTGAATTGGAAGTTGTTGCTAGCGGTGATCAGCCATTAAATGCGAAATGGTATCTAACCAATAAGGAGTTAATAGAAAATGAGCGTATTTCGACAGTTTCAAAGCCCGTAGAAGGTGTTTTCAAATTAATTATAAAAAATGTGAATGCGGATGATAAAGGAGTGTACACGATTAAAGTTACAAATAATGCAGGTGATGCAAAATGTTTTTCACATCTTAATGTAAAATCAGTAAATGTACCTGAAAATCAACGTAATCAGCAAATTGAAATTGTTGAAAAACTTACTTGTCCTGAATTCAAAGAACTATTCTCGGACAGAAATGCATATATTGATGAAGTTGTTAAATTTGAGTGCATTGTAAAAGGAAAACCCACACCTAAAATACATTGGTATTTCAATGATCAACCTGTGCATGGTCATAACTTTCTGGTATCTACAAGTGGTGAACGACAGGTGCTAACAATACAAAAAGCGAATACAGAGTCAGTTGGTAAAATTAGTTGTGTGGCTGAGAATGAAGTAGGTAAAGCATCCTGCATAGCATTTCTTAATTTAATGGGTACTGGATTACAAACAGTGCCAGCGACAAGCAATCTACAGACAATGACACAAGAACATAACACAGAATCATCACGTGTGACTATTAAGAAACAAACGTTTACCACCACATCAACATCACAAGTTAATTCATATGAAGGTAATATGCCTCAGACCGAAGTCCACCATTCTTCTGCGCACATAGATCAATCACTAAAACAACTTGGTAATCAACGTCCAGAAATAATGGAGAGTCATCACTATCAAGAATTGCATAAAACTAAAGATATGTCAAGCCCCAGTGTGCAACAAAAATCTTTTGTACTAGTACAATCTGCATCAAATGGTACAACCCCAAGTTTGCCAGCCGTACCCGCCTCACCAACACGTATACGCAAAGAGATTGCACCACGGTTTACGACACCTTTGACAGGTAAAATTGTAGATCAAGGCACTGATGTAAGCCTCGAAGCTATTTACGATGGTTTTCCATCGCCCGAAATCAAAGTTGAAAAAAATGGCGAGCAATTATTTGAAAATGAACGCATGAAAATTGCTAATAAGTGTAATCGTGTAACAATTGATCTAAAGCAAGTAGGCGTAGTTGACGCAGGACGTTACGCAGTCACAGCAACAAATACAATAGGTCAATCGACAAGCACTGCAGATTTAGTAGTTAAAAGTAAGTATTTTTCATATTTATTTAACATATATATATTTTTAAGACTATAAACGTTTTCATCCGTTCTAAATAAACAAAAAAAAATACATGATACAAAGCACTTATACGCAAACACACGTCAATAAACATGTCTATCTAATATTGATTTTGGATATTCGATTTTTTCTTTAAAATTTTAGCTCTGCCAGGTCAGGGACACATTCGCACATACCGTACAGAGAGCAACCCCAACATTAAAAGTTGATTTTATGAGTCCATTTGCCAATTTTAATTTTCGTTTTTGTGAAAATGTTTATAGTTTTGTATTTTAAATTCAAAGATATTCATTCAGTCATATAATTTTTGGCATTTACAGGCGTATATATATTATAATTTTTTTTTTTTGATACTAAATAGTTTTAAATATATTCCTTTTTATTTTTAACATAACTTGTCTTCGTTTGCAGTCAGCGATGTCATTAAATACAATTTTTAATCTTTTTATATTAAAATGATCCGCCAAAATCTAAGAAAAATATATTTCTTGCATTTACACTTACTCGTTGAAAATTTAATCAAAATATATCTGTTTGTATTGCAAGATTTAAATATTACAAATAATTTACATTTATATTATATTTAATACGAATGACTAAAACAGTATTAATGGTGTTTAATTAATTTATATATAGTATAAATTAATGTTATACTATATAGCTGCGAAACTTATGCAAATAATTTCTCATGTTATAGATTCTCATATAGACACTCTTCACACTCTTTCAACACATTCTTTATTGTGTTAGTGGTCTCTTCATTTAAGTCTTTAACTCTTTTAGGAAGCTATACGAATATATTAACGTTACAAATGTTCAGTATGTTGGACTTTCTCTCCAATAATTTTGAATTACTATTGTTTTGTTTTTTAAGTTAATTCCACGTAAAAAATATACTAGAATTTATAACTTTAAAAATGCGCATAGAAGACACCGCCACAATTTTTATTTTGTAAGTTGGTAACCCTGCATTGTATGCTACACTTGAACGCGATTTGTTATAGTCCGTTCACATAGCAAGAGTAATCGCTATTTTCATAACAGCCGACAGCCAAAATTACAATTAAATTATAATTTATACAAAAACAAGTTAATTTTAAATTTATAAATCAAATTTATAAATAGGGTATTATCCAGCGAGTTTTTTTTTAGTCAATTTTAGAATTTTACTGTTAAGTATCCTGCGATCCTCAAAAACTAAACAATTATGATCGACCAGATACGGATAACATCACCGGTTTAACAAATATTTTGCCAAAGTAGCAAGATTGCCCTAAATTAACAGCTATTTTTTATGAATTAACAGATAAAGTGTCATTTAATTCGTTATATGTATGTATGTAATATATAAATATCTACAAGCATTACTACAAAAATGTTAGATTGTTTTCGAAATATTCGATTGGACAGCAAAATTTGACAGATCGAAAGTAAATCTATATTGATTCCAGATTCAGCAATCGAAAACGCTATTTCTAAAAAAATAAGACAATTCCGACAAATTTTTTAATTCATTTCGTTCTATACTAAGCTTCTATACTTTTCATATATGTTTATAATTTGCATTTTGTTAGCTTTATATTTCAGTAGGACAAATTCTTTTCATTGAAGTTTAGTTTATTTTTATGGAAAATAACAATAATTGCGACAAATAAATAAGAAACATCTATTGATTTCTACTTTTCAGAAACAATATTCCCACCAGTTTTTGGGCGTCGTCTTCAAGCACAAGTAGTTAAAAGAGGAGAAAAAATTATAATGGAAGTAGAAGTTACTGGCTTGCCAGATCCTACTGTGGTTTGGATGAAAGACGATAAGCTAATTAATGAAGCTGGACTGTCACAACATAGATTGCTATCACAAGGAAACTCCTACAAACTCATTATAGAAAAAGGTTAGCATATTAAATCATAAATACTAAATAAATTCTTCAATAAAAATATTCATTATAAATTAACAAAATTAAGGAGAAACGAGTGATTCTGGAAAATACATGGTCAAAGCAACAAATGCTGGTGGTGAAGCTAAAAGTATAGCTGATTGCGCAGTTCTGGAACCATCTCCAGAACGCTTGCAGGAAGTTGTAAAAACAATTGTATACGAAACTCCAACAGAACTAAAAACTGAAGTAAGTCTGCATGTTCGTAAATTTTAGTTATAAAAAAAACTATTTAAACCTATATCTTATTGTAAAAATATTGAAATTAATTGGTAAATTTTCATAAATCATTTTAGATGATTTTTTAAAATACATATGTATAAAATAAACATATATCATAAGTTATATTAATGCATATATTGTAAACTTTTTTTCTCATTGTTCTTCTTTACAACGTTTCAAATAAAAATTGAATTTTCGACTCGCTTAAACAAAAATTCCAACCGCTTCTTTCATTATTTTTGGGTTTTATTTCAATTAAACATTTATCATCAAAACTATACAATTACCATAAAACAATTTGAATTATCACAATTTAAAACATTTGAAATGACATTACATCATACAAATAAAAACTAATTACTTAAAAAGAACTTCACCAAAGAACCACAATCTTTTCAAACAAATCAGTCAGAAGTTTCCACTGCATCCGATTTGCATGGCTTATCTGAGTCGAAAATTATAACTGAGCATCGTTGCACCACTGAAGCAACAATGCGTCTAGAACACAAATCATCGTTCTTAGATTTGCCTGAATTGAGTCAACGCCCAAAAACACCTACCACTACCAACAACAATATAAATATCAATATCAGTGTACCTGCTCACATGGATACTACCGATTCACAACACTTAAAGACGGTGTCAACCAAAATCGGCTCAACACAAACCCCACCAAAAGTACCACCAAAGCCTCATTCACAAATTGCAGCTATTATTACACAACCCCAGCCTATACTAAGCAATGTGCATAGTGACACAACAATGATGACAACATCGTCTTCTCAGTCTGAAATAAATACAAACGAAAAAACGTCATCATCATTTGAATACTTCAAAAAGATTGATGCACAACAAAGTGTGCCACACGTTTTGGATATTAACAAAAAAATTGACGAATTACCGAAATTAACTATTCCTATTGCCATAAAACCCAATGAAACACTTATCAGTTCACAAGCTACACTAGCTGATGATCTCAAGAATTTGAATCTCATACCGGGTTCACCACCAGAAATATGTTACATCCCGAAATCGAGTACAATTATTAAACCACCAATGATAAACGAAAAAATAAAAATAATAGAAGAATCTCAACAAAATCAAAAAGAAGCACCGCAAGGTGGGGTACCTTTATTACCACCTCCTCAAGCTTCGCATACTTATAAACATGAATCAACTATGTCTAAAGAAGTCAAAGTGGAATATGGGCAACCCATTATTCGGCCAGCTGCAAATTTATCTTCGCCAGCCCAAAATGCAAATCGTTCACCTTCGCCTAAACCTTCAGCAGAAGGGCTAGCTATGTCAAAACTGTGGACACCTAATCTAACTAGTGGTTATGAAAGTTGCACTGGTGATGTGGAGCAGAATAAAACTATAGCTGAAACAAAAGAAAAAATCATTAATGTACAAAAATTGCCTACGCCTACAAAAGAGTTAAGTGCGCCATTTCTAGTAAAACAAGCAACAAAAGCTATATCGATTCCCATACCAATAAAGAAAGAAACAGTGCTTTTAGACGACATACAACTTAAACCCGGTACACCACCCGAAATATGTATTGCACCCAAACCCGAAGTTCGCCGACAATCATTAGTTGAAGCAATGGAAAAAACATTGGAACAAAACTTACAACAAGGTCCTTCCAAAGTTTTACCAATGTCAGTACCAACATTAACTCCTGCCACATTGCAAACAAGAATAATACCAATAAGACAACAAGAACCAAAACCGATCTACAAACCTCCACCTCCTGTTATACCGGCTCAAATCACACGTACAGAAACATATGAAAGTGATTATGAGAGTGATCGCTGGAAATACAGTGGTAGTGAATCAGATGAGAATACATTTAGACCAATTGGAGGTACGCAGAGACCAAAATCAATGGATGGCTCAATGGGAGTGCCAGTTCCACAACACACTTTCAAAAAAAGTGGATATGCCGCTGATACCGAAGATGTTACTACTTACAAAAAAATGGAATCAATGCAAGAAAGTCGTTCATATTACGAATCAAGCAATAACAGAACGCAACCCCAACGAACGATTTATCAAACACCGCACTTAGAAAAACAACCTCCAGCACCAATTTACTGCATCAATCAGAATGGACACGACAGACAAGAGTTTTCGAATGAATATACACGTGAAGAGAAGGTTCGATTTCGTTGTTACCATTCTTATGACAAAAATTTTTTATATGTTGTTATTGTTGTTATGTAGCACTCATGCCATGTATCTAATACCGTCCAAAATTTTTGCTATTTTAGTGTTGATGTTTTTGCCTTGTTTATAATTGCTTTAAAATGCACTCCAAATACGTTTTAAACATCATTATTGCAAGATTTCATCTACAAAGCATCTATAAAATATATTAAATTACGCATATGTACAAAAACTAATATAGCATAATAATAATGTTAACACGCTTTATTATCGAAGTCAAACCTTAACACGATTAGTAGCTTATTTTATATTAAACACACTAATGTGAAATATGCATAAAAATTTTCAAACACTAAAATAACTGATTAAATGTTTTGTATATTCGTTATAATTTATTAAAATTCCAATTAAGTAAATTTTTGGTTTTATATTTTCAAAGGACTACAAATATAGCACCAATATGTCCAGTAATGTGTCGTACAATACATCTTATGCCACACCAGCTAAAACTACAACTACACCAAGCCCTATCGTAAGCGCTTATAGAAAAACTCCTGCTGAATTCAGTGATTATAACAGCGAAGTTGAAGAACGTTTCCGTTCCGTCTCACGTACTTCTGAAACAGACATTAAAGGATATCGCGTTGTCTTCCCTCCAACACCTACACCAAAAGCAACTATTACCAATGGCCACAAGTCGCCAGTTGTGGTAGTAACTCCATCGCCGATGGAATTCGAGCCAAATCCACCAACTGTGGGTAGCTTTAACCGCCCTAAATTCGAACCTATCAAGAAAGAAATAATTCATGAAATTAAAAAAGAATCTACGCAACAAAAACATTACCAACAACAACAGCAACAACATGTTTTTAAACCCAAACCGGTAGCAGCAAAATTTATAGCAGCAACTCAACAACAACAGCGTGATTTTCAGACACAGCAACAGGCAAAACCCACACTTTACTATAATGCAATAGCTGGCACACCATTACATACAGCCAAAATGGCCACAGAAACCAAGAACGTTATGCACATGAAGGAGTCTTCAGAATCATGTCAACGTGTAGTAAATATGCAGCAAACCAAGCGGGTTATACACTTTGATAGTCAAAAAGAAGAAAGCTCTTCACTTGAACCTTTTCCTTATACTGCCAGTCCAAGTCGCATAACGCCTTCCCGACACTCTAGTGTACCGCCACCACCTACACCAACTAAATTCATACCAGGAGAATTCCGTGAGAGTGATTATGAGAGTGAGGTGGAAAACGCGAAGATACGTCCACTATGGACACCGTATGGAGATGCTGGTGGCTTACGATATCGACACGTTGAACCACCACAACCAGGGCGAGCTTGTAGTGTACCACGCGCATATGAACGTGTTCTTTCTCCCATGCAATTTGATCGTGGCCCTGAAATGCCTTCTAAAATACAGGTAGATGCTAATTCACTACGTAGGGACCGCAATATTAGTTCACAAAATAAAACACAATCGCTAAATCGTCATACTACTATGCGTACTAGCAACTACAATCAACAGTACCAATCAAATTTACAAGAGCAGCCACGATATGTGCCCAGCTTTCCACGTGACGATATGAACTTAAGAGTTGGGTCACCACCGAAATATGGTTATATTCAAACACAGGCAGATACACAAGCCAAGCGTATGGGCAGTACATTCTTGCAAAAATCACACCAGTTTATAGAGGATATAACTAGCGATTTACAGAAAACTACAACAAAAACGACTTCCAATTTAGTAAATGGTACAAATGCTGAACCAAAAGTTATAACACATGCTTTTAGACCTGGTTTCAAACGTGCTCCCAGTGAAGGGGATACTAGACCACAAGCCTACCGTGATGAGTCAAGAGTTTCACAATACGGTAAGTAAATTATGATAAAATATATAATATGGATAACTTTTTCGAATAAAAACAAATAATAGTAAATACGCTATATACCTTTCATATTGATGAAGAACTATACTCGTATATAATGATTCGAAAATAAAAAAATTTGATGAACTAACTCGGTTCGATTGGTTAAACAAAATATTTTAGATACTTTTCTTCACCCTTTTTTATATTGCTTGTGTTTTGTTACGAATTACTAATCTTTTTAATAAATAAGCTAAGTTTTGACTGACAATAAAATTTTCTTTGATATTTGATAAATAATCACAATACCAAAAAACAAAGGTACAAAGTGTGTAGATCCTAATACTGGACTTATATACTTTAAATACGATTTCGGATATGAATTTGGCATTTTATTTCCTGGAGAGGGTCGAAAATTTGTGGGGAACCAATGGAATTCATCCGCCTCGTCACTGCCAACAACAAATCAAAATGCTATTGCTGGCTCTGGCAGAAAATCACCTTATCCACTTAAAACACCTGGTGGCAGTGATTTGATTATACCAGTACAACACGAACGTACTAAAGATGCACGCACACCAATTACAAAGCCGCATTACAATATGATGGGTTCTAATTCTAGTTTGCATGCTAACTCTGATACTGAACATTATCGCAGTAGCCCAACTGCGGGGTACAGTGGAGTTAACAAATTTAAGAAACGTTACAGTCTGCCCAATACTCAAGCGATTGATATCAATATTGATCGTTTACATAAAAATGATGGGTTGTCAAATTTACCATTTATACGTACAGGTATTTTTTATTCTTTTTTGGAGGAATAGTTTAGTTGCCTTATTCTCTAAACTTACTTGCTGTTGTGATACTATTTGATGTTGTAATAACATTTTTTTAAAATGTATGAAAATATGCTTTCGATTGACAAAAAGAATTAAACATTTCAGATTTTTCTCACTTCAAATCAATTCATTTAAAATATTTTCATAAGCTTCTGAATTATGCAAACATATCAGAGGGTTAATGCTTCTTTCAAAAAAAATCATTTTTCAACGTAATTCAACTCTATCTAATATTTCAATTATATATCTAAACTCAGACCATACATATAATGATATCGGTTTGAAAAATGAAATTCTTTGTAAAATATGTAATATATATGACATTTTGTATTATATGTATATATATCATATATGTGTTTATTAATATTTTTATTAAATATTATAATAATTTGAACTAAATGTAGAGTTATTAAATGTAGAGTTTAATGTTTTCTTCTTCTACATATATTGCATTTACCTGAGCATTAGATGTCTACCTCAGCGCTTATATAAATATAATGTACATTCAACTATTCTTTAACTAAATCGCTCATACCTTATATGAACAAGCTTACAAAAATGTTTAAGTTAAAAATATTTTTAAAACTACTTCAGATTACTCACAGCTTGAATATACATACCATGTACATCTATGTACTAGTATATCTAATTTAATAATATTTAAGAAGTTAAATTTTTAAATTAAGTTAATAAAAAACTTATTTATTTTATTTAACTTAATTTTAATAATAATATATTATTAAATGTTCTGCATGCTACTTTTTTATATATAAATATTTTTTATATTAAAATGCTTGTTGTTTTGTATTGTTTTATAAATGTTTTGTGTTGAAAAATAAAAAAAATTTATATTATTGTGTTTTGTTAATATAAAGTATTTACGTGCTTATGTTTTAAATGTGCTTCAAAATAAAAATTATAAAATAATTTCTGAAAAAAATGCCAAACTTGCTTCACACAAAAATAATTAAAATTATAGTACCGGAACTGCCATCAGATATACCAGTTAATGCGCATCTAAATCGGGATGAGCACCCGAAGAAGCCACCACAATTCATAACGGTAGGAAGAATAAAATAATCTCACTGCCCTTTATTAAAAATTTAACAAAAAATATGTATTTTCTATAGCCACTGAAGGATATTGCAGCTACCACTGGACGTACAGCACGTTTTGAATGCATTGTGCAATGTCACCCACAACCGAATGTAACTTGGTCGAAAAATGGTTACGAATTAGAAGACAGCAATAAACATATACTCGAATATAGAAATGGTGTTTGCCGTCTAACAATGCCACAAGCCTATCCAGGTTATCTATACATATTATGAATAATTTTCCAATCAGTGTTTAACATGTTTTAAAATGTTTTTCAGATGATGCTGGTATTTACTCATGTACAGCAATAAACCCATTGGGAACGGCAACAACGTCTGGACAGTTATTAGTATCCGGCACCCAACGTCTCGCTAGATATTAAATATTATTATTATATTATAAGTACGAATTATTTTTTGCCAAATATTATATTAATATAACAATGTTTTTTCGATAAAATTATAGAGAGCATAAAAGATATATTTTATTCATATTTATCTCAAATATTTCCTTTTCCCTTTAAATTTTTATTTTAATTTCGATGTACAAGATGGATGCTTTTTATTGAAAAAATCTGGTGTTACCTATACTCTCAAATGAGCCGAATTCATTGCATAAAAATAGTATTATGTGTTCTATTTTTTATTATTAAATATTTTTTGTGAATTTGTATTCGAATATTTTATTCTTAATTTAATAAAAATTCCAAAAAAATAATATTGAAATATTTATTTATTGTTCAAATAGAGAAAAATCATGAATATAATTTACTAAAGTAATTGATACATTTGCGTCTTGATATCAATTACCTACATCATTTTATAATATTAAAATAAATAAAATTTAAAGTCCCAGTTAACAGCAACAATTACAACAAAAAGGTAATGAAAAAAACTGCTAGCTAACTGCACTTAAAACACAAAATAAATATGGAAAACGAATGCAGAAAAAATACAGATATTTTCAATGTTAAAATATCTTAAATATAAATAAATTAAAAAGTTGTAATATCCGCAGTTAACGATGTAATGTACCTATAGTGTCATTTGTATATGTTTTATATTGAATTGCAATCGATAGTCATATGTTAATAATTAAATCACATATCAGGAAATTAATGAAGGGATAATTCCGTATACTTAAAAGAGTTATAACAGCTATTATCATAATCTAGGTCAACATTATATGTAAGTCAAAGTTAGTTTTAAAGAAACTAAAAAAAAAATAATATTTACAATCTATCTCTTCTAAAAAATTTAAAGACAAGTCGATATAGATGATGTTACAATGAAAAAGAAGATGTGACGTTCGTGTCTACAAATTAATTGCAAATTTAAAATAAAAGTAAAAAATTTTGCAATGGACGCAACAATATAGGCATAGTTAGAAATAAAATAACTCACATTACAGACCTATCTTTCACACTATCACTAACTTTCCTTTACTTCTCATTATACTACTATCCAAGCAATTTTCTCTATCTATCAACCTCTCTGAATACTTCCTTCAATTGCTTTACAAGTTTCAACCTGCATTAACTCTTTTCATCGTATTCAGTTATTACTCTTTTCATTGCCTTGATTTTATTTTGTTTGTAACATTTTGAAGTGAATTGAAATCTAGTTTTCAAAATTCACTCAAAGAAACTGTGCATTCTCCACAGGTTCTTCTTAACCTGAAGGATAAAGAAACCATTAAACAGTTTCTCTGTGAATGCCTGCCTTTGGCGTCCAAAAGTAAAAGGTTTTTAGCGAGGTATTTCTTTTACAGCTTATCAGACTGTTTATCGATCAAAACGAAAGACCTATTAAATTATCTAAATTCTACTGAATGGATTTAGTCTAAGGGTTTCTTAAAGCAATGCGGCAGCAAAATGGCGAGAAGTCGCTAATTAAGGTACATGGACACTTAACTGATGACCTGCCACTGCAACCAACCAACCAACCAATCATTTCGACACATTGCTCTACCTATTGCTGATAAGTGGAAAAGTATTTTTTAATTGCTCACTGAATGTGGATGATTCATATATAAGGAACCATAATTTATAGTAATTATATTGCAATAATTGTATTCATTTAATCAAACGAAATGTGATTCTATTATTTGATTTTCGTCATACATTGCGTGATCAAAAAGTATTAGAATAAAAAATGTACAATACTTTTGAGATAAATGAGGTTTTCACCAAAAGTTATCGAAAATAAAATTTAAATTTTCATAATTTTGAATTAATGTTAATTATCTTAAAATTTATCAAAATCACTAACTATTTATTTTCTGCTGACGTGAACTAATTCTCTTCATTTACAGAGTTAGACTACAAATGCACGATTCAACAAAAGACGTTATCTGTCTTATTTTATGTTCGTCTACTTTACATTTTGTAGAACCAGTAAAGTATTGTCCAAGTAAACATGTCCGAAAACAAACTGATCTTTATGATGATAGAGGTCATCATTTCCGGCATATTAAATTCTATTCAGAAACCCTCTAATCGCTTTGTTGCACGTAATCCATTTTTGAATAAAATGAAAAAATTAAATAGTTTTTGACTGAGCGCCATCTTTTATCTTAAAATTTTTTTGAAATATCCACAAGATGTCTACAACATGAATAAATTTTTTAAAGGTCGATCTACAGCTTTTAAATTCAAAAGAACTCAGTTTCTGTAAACACTGAAAACATATGATACGATTATGTTGAAAATCGAATAGAATAGTTGTTTCTGTTTTCGAACTTTATGCACTGTTAAAGACTAGAAAGCTTTTTCGAAAAACTTTTTCATCATCTATATAAATAAAATAAATAAATACTCGCATATATACACGTTGGGCATTATGCCAAAATATACTTAAAAACATAAAGTAGCAAAAAAATAGAATTAAAAATAAGTTTATTAAAACTATAATATTTTAGTTTATGCCGGAAACTTAAACGAATAAAACAATATTAAATAAATTTTAATCTAAGAAAAATAAATAATTTTAGTTAAGCAAAAATAATTTTATTATACTCAACATGAAATATATAGAACCTATTGGCCTCTATGTAAATTCGTCAAATTTAAATTGATTGATATAACATTATGTTTTATATAGAAAATGATAAAAAAACTTTTTTTCTTATGTTAGAAGGAAATGCCTTTTTAGTATATAATAACAGATAGACCACAATAATAATACATCATCATCAATTCCTGTAGCTCCCACTGCTGTACATAATTATACAACTATATATAAAAAATTAAAATTGTATGGCGTATATATCTTATTCTGTATTTATAAATATATTTTTTAATGTTAAATAACCAGAGCGGTGGTTATTTCTGTTCTTATTATAATTATATGTTCGCTAAGCAGGGTAAACCTCAGATTTTTATGTGGCTATAAGTATCTGTACTAGTAGTCTGAGTTAGTCCTTATATAAATGAATTTCTTTAATATAAATGACTTTTCTTGGCTGCGTCGAGTAACCTCCGCCAGCTACCCCGAATAGTTGCTTGTTATTGCTAGCTGGTAGCACCGAGCGCCTCCAAATCTTTGGTCACCTGGTCCTTCCACCGATAATGCGGACGTCCTCTTTACTACTTGTCCCGCTCTAAACAGACAGGAGCTGCACTACTTAGGTGACATTGTTATACTACCACCGGCTACCAGTGTTAAAATATATTAAAAATCTAAATGTTTAGGGCTAAAAGGCAGGACTATAAATGTGTTCAGGTTGCGGCGCATTATGGCCGCTTTTAAAAGTCAAAAAAAAATTGTATTGACAAACCTAATACCCAACTAATATATTATCTGTCAGAAATAAAGAATTGTTAGATGCAGCTAACCGTTTGAAATTTATGACAGTTCAAGGTAAAGCAAATAGAAAAAGCTTAGTACATTTTCTTTAATCCATTATTTGTTAACCATCATTAAAAAAAATAAATATATATATTTTAAATTTTAAGCCTATTAATAAATCATTTCATTTTAGTGAAGTATTTGCTCTTCATTTAAAATTTAACAAAAATATTAATTACTTTGAAAACGAAAATTAAATAGGAAACAACTGTTCACTTATTTTAATTAAACAGGTTAGATTATATTTTATTATCAAACACAATTAATATGTGTAATTAGCGCATCATAAGCACAGTTTCGGTATAAATATGTATTTATGAAAACAAAAAGTTTACTTAAAGAAAATTTTGAAATTTAAAATTATTTGCAATTAATCATAAATTTTTAATTGTCTTAGCCAACAGTTGCTGCACAATCTGGCATATTTCAACTTTTTAAAATTTGAATGCCAAAAACAATTATTTTTATTTTATTGAAAAATAATGCAGACCAAACGTTAAATTTCATAGTGGGTGCAAAATGTAAACAACTAATTGTACGAATTAAAACAATAAAAGCTGAGATAAAAATTCAATTCTTTTCATAGCATAAGAATTTAAAAAAATAAATTAAAAAAATAAATAAATAAAAATAAATTAATTAATAAATTGTAACAAACTTGAGAATTAAGTGTTTGGCAGGTGAATTTAACAGCAGCCGAATAATAATTTATAAATGAAAAAACACTTACAAGTTGTACATAATATAAAAGTAAGAAATCAATTTACAATAGAATAATACGCAAATCCTTGACATTGTTCACCATTTATAAAAAAAATGTCATTAACTTTTAGTACTGCGACAAGTTTGTTTAGTTTTTAAATAAGAAATTCAACTTTATTTCGTTACAAACCAAAAAAAAAAATCACACAAAATTGCGAAGAAAAAAATTAAATTCGTATGATTTTTTTTTTAAATACAATAAATATTTTTGGTTGGAAAATACACAAAATCTACAAAATACGAGTTCGAATTGTTTTCTATATCTGAAATAAACAAATAAATACTAAAGTTGACACACTTTGTTTTATATATAGCGTCACCGCGGCACATCGACCGTTAAAGAAAACAAGGTTTTCTTACAGAAGACAGAAAGAAAAATCTATTTGAAATATTTCAAATCTGCTGCCAAAAAATATTTAGTCATTTTTATTCAAGCATTTTTTAACAATTAACTTGGCTATTTATTTACGTTGCGTTATTCATGTAGGATTACTACAAACAAAACTTATATAGATTGTGAATAATTTGAAAAATATTCAAATACATATAAAAAAAGGAAATGTATTATATACAGAAGTATATACACAAATATATGTGAATAAAATATATACATATCTTCGTACAACATTTTAGTATTTTGTAGTTGCTATCACTTAATGGCTTATAATTTATATATTCCACTCACACATGTCTTCAGATTCAGAACTATCCACTTAACACTTAAGTCTAAAAGCAAACATCAATCAATAAACATCAATTATAATCATAATCTATTCACTAAACTGATTGATATATCTTACCTGTACCTTAGCTAATTTCTTAGCTATACGAATATTAGTATTTGACATTGAATATCTTTTATAAAAAACTGTTCAGCACAATTTATCAAATTTTAACCTTGAAATTATATCTACAGGAATTTTATATTTAACAAGCACGCATACACAGAAGATTTTTCTGAAATTCTTTCACATTTTTTTAGTGAAGTTAGCTGACACTTTGGCTGTTTTAAAATTAAA